ATACATAAAAAGTTTCCTCTCCTCTTTTGGCAGATCTTGACCTGTAATGCCCAGCAAAAAGGCTTCTGGTCTTTGAACAAAGGTTGTCTTAAACATTCATTTCATTTCATTATAAATCATTTCCCAATGATTTTAATTATTTTACAATTCCGCCCCATATGAAAAAAATGTGCCTTCTTTTTCTTTACACTTCCAACACTTGCTGCAGCCAGCCTGGCTTATATTCTAACACTTGCTAAATCCATAGGTTCAGTGTCTGGCACCCCTGCTTAATGCTCCAAACCTTAATTAAATTCTAACACTTATTGGACCCAGGAATTTGGGGGGATCTGGCACCCACAAACCTATAACAATATTTTCATTTGCAATACCTTATAAGAAAGGGTTTTTAATTTTGTTTTGTTTAAAGATGAAATAAAGTTCCTTAAGAATAATGACATTCAGGTTGACTTAAATGGAGCCTAACAAACGACATGTTGCATGTGAATGCATGTAGTTAAATCCATTGTCCCTCTTTTATTCCAGGAAAACCTTTAATGGGGGCGAGCAATTTGAAGATAAGCAGCAATAGTGATAATGGGGACTTGATGCTATTCCTTTTCCAAATCCGCTTCAACCTACTTTCATCCTGCATGGGGTTCAAAACACATGTTTGGGAGAGGAAGGAATTTGATGAAATGTCTTGAAGCAAGGAGAGAATGATGATTATTTTTTGCTGTTGTTTTGTTAGATAATCCCATTTGAAAGTGTTTTTTTTGTGGTGAAGGTGGGTTTCATTTTGTTTAAACATGTCTGCATGAAATGTGCAGCTAGATCTTTGGAGAACACTATATCCTTGTTCTATATCTTTTGCTCCCTAGCCAGATACTGTATGGAAAGAATTTGTATTTTTCTCTCTAATGAAACTAGCCCCCTTGCCCATCGTTTGCAATTCCTTCCAGAATTCTAGCATTGAGAATCTGGTGACTCTTATCTTTATTCTTGGCATTTATGTAGCACTTTAGATTCTTGGCTCATAGTGGCTCAACCACTATTCTGTCCCAGTTCCTTATAGTTTTCTTACAGTAACGGAGAGTGATGACTGCATGTGTGCTGAAGTTGGACTGGAAACATGCCAGGCAACAGTTTATTGAAATATATATATAATCTCTCTTCTGAAATTCACAGGGCTATATGGTTAAACATTGTCAAGCAAAATATACCGGTACTTTTCTTTCTTTACTTACACTTGCCAATTTCTTTGGACATCAGGTTCCAGAAGAGCATGTGTTTCATTTACCTGTCTCTAACCTACATCTCTGCATATAATTGAGCGGAGTTCTTGTACACTGCAGAAAACCAGACACTATTTTGAAAACAGTTGGTGAAATGTGCATTTTTTGGAGACAGTTAAGTGCCCCAATGTCTCCTTCCATGCACTAGAGATTAACATTATTATTCTTTATATCATCTTTGCAGCAAGCCACTGTCGCCTCTCTCTACAAACAAAGGTTTCTTTGTTTTAGCAGTTAAGAAAAACTTGAATGCAGCGTAAGCAACTGATATCAACTTCATTAAAAGGTTTTGGAAAGCAACTACCGCCGTTAGAATTTATTTTTGCTAGCCAAATACTTTCAGAGAAAAGAAGACTTCTTATGCAAGTAACAGAGGTATACTAGGGATGATTGACTGAATGTAAATACAGCAAAAAGGAGGGTGAGATGAAGACTGCTGCATAGTTAAATGCTGGGGCATTTTGCATACTTTCACCACTGTTTGCCATTGTGCAGCTTAGTTACTAATAACAGGAAAGATACCATCCCCCATGCATTTCAGATTTTTTTAAAAACGTACTTGTCATCTTTACTGCTGCTGCTTTCTGAGCATAAACTGGAATACTGGCATTTTTCTTTGTTTTTTACTCTTAGGTACCTTGGTGCCTTTTCCTGACACGTATTAAGATCTTCCTCTGCCTTCTATACCCCTGAAAGTGAGGTGGAATGTGACTGGATTTAGTGCTCTCCTCTTTTTTTTGGTAGTGGCACACCAGCTTTGGAATGCCCTTCCCAGGATGGCTTTCCTGGTCCTGAATCTGTTGTCTTTTCAACCCCAGCTGAACTACACACTTTTATTTCTCTGGGTCTTTTGTTTTATTGAGGTGTTTAGTTTGGTTCTGATTTTATTTCCATGGTTTTACCTTTTAAAATGATGATTTTATGATTTGTTCTCTTTTCTTTTAAAATCATATGCCACGTTGAGCATTTAGATTGGTTGGCATCTGTCTGTCTTGGGAGACAATGGAGTGCACCTTTGGGGGTGAAGTCAAACTGTTGGAAGCTTGCAGCGCCAGCTGTGGCTGTAGAGACCGATAAGGGAGAGACATTTTTTGTTGCAGCTGGGGCAGATGAAGGCGTCCAGTCATGCTGTTCCAGATATACCATGGCATTTCTTCTCTCTGTGCTCCTCCCAACAGTCATTCCTCCTCATTTGAATGGGGCTGGGACAAGAGCAAGAGCTAGATCAGAAGGGAGGAATTGAATACAGTCAATGGGCTGATCTTTCCCTCTCTCCACAGGTCATTGTGGGGTCACTATGTTGTCATATGTGACACTGTTTTCTTTTGCCCACACGGTTTCAAACTATAGTGGGAAAGGCTCAGCATTTTTAGACACCACCAACAATAATGTCATATTTGCAAAGCCAAGACCCTTTGCAAGTGCTGCTGTGGTCATCAATGCTTGCAAAGGCATGGGTTTGGAAGCACCAACAGTCACAGCACAGGGCTTGTCGCAAGTCACAGAGCTTTTCAGGAGCCACCTATCAGCTGACTGGCAGGCCCTGCAAACACTGTAGGAGCTGCGTCACACCTGATGTCACAATGCTTGCAGGGATGGAGGACCAATTGCTATGGTCTGCCCTTAAAGGCTGATGAATCCAGAAGGTTCCCTGAGGTCTCTAGGGACTTTTTCTACAGGTTTAGCTGGCCATTTTGTGGAAGCTCTAGTCACAGTCAGGGATAGGCTTAGTCTGTTGGTGCAATCCTCCTGAAACATCTTTGACCCAATTGTAAAGTCAGCTGCCTGATATTCTGGAAAGCTGATGACAACTGGGCTACAGTGCAGAGAGTGGAAAGGGAATAGGGAAAACTTGTAATGAGTGCTACCAGAGACAAATTAAAAACAATTATAGGGATTCCGTGGTGATCGTGGCAATGAAAAAGAAACTTACTTCCCTGCCAGCAGAACACTTCTGAGCAATGAAGAACTTTTTGTATAAAGGTCTAGAGATAACCAAGTGTTAAGAGTCCTCAGAGGATCACTGCGACCAGTTTTCATTGCATTTTGCAGATAAATCATTCATGTTGGCTCCAACTTGGATGCCACAGTTTTGGCAGAGTCAGAGATGGATGTAGGCATGGGTGTAGTTTGTGCAGCCTTACGATGTGGAGAAGCTGCTTGGAGCCTTCAGCTTGTTCTCTTAATTCTTTTTCTTATACCTGTATGGCTGTGCTATATTGAAAAGAAGTAAGTGAAATATAAGTGTTTAGAACTACTTTTCTTATTATTGTGATTACTTTGTATATAGTTCTAAATTATTTAAAATGTTGGGAGCCACCATGGGAAAATATTGTTGCTCTACAATTGACTTACAGAACAAAATTAAATATTATGAAAATACAGTACTGTAGTGTAAATTTTAGAAAGTAGATGAGTTCTGATGTGGCTTTTCAGCATTCTGTTATTCAAAGGTTTCCAAATCCATGTGGCTAGTCCACCCCTATATATTATCTTGTAGTAATTAAGAATATGATTAATTCTGCTGGTTGACCAGAGACCTTACTTTCTGCTCTGCAGAAAAAAGATAATCTTTAAAGGTCAGGTTGTCTCAACCTTATGTGTCACAAATGCTGTCTTCCGGCTTACTAAATAACAGTATCTAGGGGTGACTTTGCAAATACATTCTGAATTATTTATTTTATAAAGAATGAAGGGTCTTGTGGCTCCTTGAAGACTAAAAATATATATGGTATACTGTGGGCTTTAGTGGGCCACAGCCCATTTAAACAAAATACACAAAATGCTATCCTTAGTTGGCAGATCAATTCTGTCTGTCAGACAATGGAAGGAAGCAGAACTTACAGAAATGGTTGACTTTATACATTAACAAATGCACTAATTATCAGTTCTTGAAATATACCATAAATGATATTTTATATAAACCAGTATGTTGAAATGCACAATTTGAAGGAATAGCACTCCTCTGTTGTGAAACCCTTCTATCGGAAGCGATTTAGGATTTTAGGTTTTGTTTTTTAAGCCTAGGGTTTTTGAGACACTAGGAGGAGTTCAGGCCTCTAGATTCAACAAGAGCATGATGTGTCATTTTAGAGACTACACCCATAAAAACGCCCAGTGCCATTAAGTCCCATGACAGCTAGCTGTGTTAAAAAGGACAAAACAAGTGGCCATTCATTCAAGTCCCCAGAATCCTGTCGCTAAAATCATTTACCTGGCTTGTTACTTAGTCAATGTGAAGCCCTTCCTCAGATCCTGCACAGGTTTCCTGTTCCCTCCTGCACTCTTCCAAACTCCTTGTCGCTACTTTCAGAAGTCTCCACAGGTCTGTCACATCCTGTTTTTCTGTTCTTACCTCTTGTAACCTCCACTCCTCCTACTCGACTCCTCTCAGCATCTCACAGGTATGTTCAGAGAGACTGCTTCCTCAAAAACAACTCTATCTGTTCTTTCCGGATGTTTGTTTATGCTGGGATTTTTTTCCTTCCGCCACCTCTCCCTTTCTTCAAATCCTCCTTTAAAACCCACCATTTGCTACAGAGAGACCACATCAGTCTGTTGTTTCTGCAACAATTCTTTTCATTTAATTTCATTTACAGCCATGATCAGATAACCTTTGATTCAAATAACGTTTTAGTGCAATACATAGGACCAGCATTTTAATAGATTATTTGTTCTTCTACCAAGTGTTAAATTAATCTCTCTCTCTCTTTTTGTGTTTCACAGATCTTCAAGTCAGTAAAAGCAGCAGAAGACTCTTCAGAATATTTTTGCTACCCTTTGAGGGAACCACTAACACCTCAACACCATGCAGACTGGTGCTGCAGAGGCAACAGCCCTTGCGTAACACCATGTTTTCAAAGAGCTCCTGAATACCGTGCTACTTTACGCAGGACTTCCCTTTCCAATTTTATCACTGGTGCTCTCCTAGAAGCAACCACGTCACTGGGAGCTAGAAGTGGTACGTTAAATATTTTAGGAGGATCAACTGGAAAGACCATGCTAAAAGGTAATTAAGGGAAGTTTAATCATCTTTGACAGTGTGGCAATTGGGGTTTCCTACGGCCTCAAATTCTTCTCCAAATTGGAGATGATAAACGTATTGGATTGATTGTATGCTATCCCCAAGTTTTAAGAATTCAAAATAACATTGTATATATTTAAATAAATCCATGTGTGTTAAATCGGTGGGTCAGATCCAGACTTATTCATGCTTAGAGTAATCTCATTGATTTCAATGAGTCTACTCTTGAGCAGTAGACCCAAAGTTTTATTTCGCTTACATGGGAGCCAAAGGCTTTCACATTCCAGAATTAAGATTGTATAATTCTCTGCTTACAAAGATTCTACTTTTTTTGTAGTTTTATTTTATTTTAATTGGACACTTGAAGTGGGGTTTTTTGGGGGGAGGAACAAGAAATGCTCAGAACACTAGCATAAGCATCGCATGCAAAGGCTGAGTTGACATAATCAGATAATGTCCATTGATTACCGTTTAGCATTTTGGTTTTTTGCTTTTATGCTCTGCAGTCAGTTCCTTAATGACCCAAATGTATTGCACATGCATTAAGCTAAAAGTCCATGGGTGAACTATCCTGGTTTCTATATAGGGCAAGTCATGCCATTGCATTGTTGAGTAGGTTAGAAGTGGGTAGGTGTACATCTAGAATTTCTTGCTTTTAAAGGATTGTAAAACACTTTAGATTATAATGTCAACACACCACTATATAAAGATACTGTGTTTCAAATATGCTTACATTAGGTGAAGTAGTGGGGTTAGAGCAGGCCTTAATGAGTTTGGAGTTAAAGAACAGAGCAGGTCATAACTGTTTTGGATACACTCAAAATATATTTCTGTCTCTGTATCAAATAGCCAAGATTGTTTATGTTCCTGAATGTTAACGGGTCTTTTGTCAAAAGATTTATAAAAACAGGGATCAAATAAATACATTTTCCATTTTTAGTGCATAGATTGTTAACAGGAAGCTGTGATGGATAAATATTGTTATATTTAAGTACCTCTGTTGTAGATGGCTGAATGCATTGATGTGCAAAATGACCTAGATATACTTTGCTCTTCACCCTTTGTTTTGTGGAAGAAATATGTAACTTACTAAGGCCTGAACTACATATTACATGGCTAAGCTATGTTTCCAGACCTTGACTGCAGCTTTTGCACTGCAAAGGAGGTTGTAAGGAGGCAATCTGTGGGGGAAACTGCACCTTCTCTCCCCCACCCTCCTGCCATGATTTTGCAGGTCTAGAACCCTGGAAGTGCCAGAGAGGCAGGGGAATTGTTAAGCCATCCTTTCCTGCTGTTCATTGCACACAAATTGCCCCCCTTCTGACAGCAGATAAGCAGGATCTGGGCTCTGGCAACATGACTGTCATCTGTTTCTGAGCTTCTATCTGCCCTTCCGTTTCACTTTCCATATTCAAATCTCCTTCTTAATATTGGCTCTACAAATCTATGATTCTACAACCTCAAACATCTGTCATGCACTTGTTAAATGTATTAAAAATGGAAGATATAACTTAATAAATATTTCTTATGTAGTGATATGCTTGTTTGCTGTTTCCTAACCTTATGATCAAAGGAGGTGATTATCTCTTTCTAGGTATGGGGATAATCTGATAAGGAGGGAAATCAGGCTCTAAACTGCTGCACTCAGGGCTGCATATCATTTATTTCAGTATTTTGGGGTGGCTGGCTTCAATCATCACTTTCTGTTACTTCCATTTTAATGGCTACTAATTCCTCGGTGTTCTCATTTGTTTTCCAGCCATGCTCATAACTATTTCCGGTGTGCTCCTGAATGGAGGAATGGATATATCCACACAACTATTTGCATGAATGCCCTGTCAGTACTTAATTGGTGTAATAGAACCAACAAATTAGAAAGGGAATACCTACTAGTATGAATGGAAAAGACTGAAGTTGCTTCTTATATACAGATTCAAATATGTGCAGATGTGCACTCCTCTGGTCTAATTCCAAAGGGGGGTGGGAATGCATTAACAGTTAAATAATATCCTATGTGGACAAGCCCTAAAATTAATGATGTATTGTGAGAACCTCTGCAACTCTCCTTTATGAGACTTTATGTTCATCTTCATATGTTTTTAAAGCTTTTTTTCATAAACCAATAATGGAATACTTGATAAAACAACTCTACACTCATGGAAACTAGCTGCCTTTTTTCAAACACAGAAATAACATTATGAATGCTGATTTAAACCAATTTGCCAGTATGTATTAGATGTGAAATAATTATTTTGACTGAGGGTTGGATAAGCTGTGTCCAGTGGTGAACAGCCAGAGATGGTGGAAGCTCTAATTAAGCAACATATTGAGGTCTACAGGTTAGGACACCCCCAGCTTAAAAAAATTATATTACCTGTATGTTAAGATCAATTTAGTATTATTGATTACAAGGTGTGCACTTCCAAGACATGCTCTGGAGCACAATCCTATACATGTTTACTCAGAAGTATGTCCCATTCAATTCAGTGACTTAGTCCCAGGTAAGTGGATACTGTATAAGATTGCAGCCTAAGTCCCATTGATTTCCATGAGATGTCAGTGTTCTTATTTTTTGTGTGTGACTAAGACTCTAATCTGACACACACTTACTTGGGAGTAGTCTCATTGTAGTCACTGGAGCATGCTTCTGATTGGGCATGTATATACACTTGTACTGTCAAACAGGTTTACAAATACCTTGACTTGGATTTCTTGTAGATTGGATTGCTACTCTTAGTAGGAATGTCTACCTGTCCTTAAATGTAAAATACCTCCCGTTGGATTCTTAGCGTTTCAGTTTTTATCTGGGAAGTGGGTAACCTGACCTTTCCGCATGTCTTCCTTGTGGCTTAAACAAAGCATGCTAGTTGTGCATTTTGACAGTTCGTAGTTTCAGACTGAGCAGCTGTTCCTGACAGCTAGGACAAACAAGTGCAGTGTGTGATATTCTTCTGCTTTTGAAAGTATCGGTCCTTCTGGAATTTTAGAAGGAAATCAAAAGAGCAACTCTGTTTACTGGTAAGCTTAATGTTCCTATGGCCTATAAGCCGCTGACTTTTAAATTTAAAATGAAAAAAATAAATAATGTTTCTGAGATGGAGATAAGAAGAGGTTGTTTTTACTGTCGTGTACTGTGACCTGTGTACAGGTTTCCTTTACTAACCATGGAAAGGAACACCTGACATATAGATACAGTATTTGCTTTTTCTTAGTTGCCTATTAGTGAATTCATGGTTTTCTGATCACAGCCTTTATGCTTAAACAACAAGCAAACCTCTGACACTTGCACTTAATATAGGTAAACATTGAAATGCATGAGCCTAAACATTCCTCTACTGTAAGTGTAATGTTGTTTAGCCATTTTCTACGGGTGTCACTAACTCTCATTGGATGTTTCGTTCAGAAAATCAAGTTAACTGATAAAACATGTTCTCTCTGCTAACAAACAAATGTTATTTGGAATAATTTGCAAGTATTTAATCCCAGGGGCTGACTTGTACAGTTGCAGTTGACTTCAAAACTAGGGAAGGGTGATTTTGTCAATTTCAGTTTGTTTTACTGATCTGAACTTCAGTTCTCCATGTTTCCATATCAATTTGCAAATTCTTTTTCTAAGAAGTTCTCATATAAATCCTTCACCATTTTAGCATGAATTTCTCCTAATATGCACATTTTTTCCTGTGCAGTTTTGCCCAGCATATACATTTGCAAGCAATGTTCTCTAATATAATGCATTTTATGCACACTTTACTTTGTATATGCATTTTGGTACATATTACTTGGTTGGAGAACAACATTGCAATATTCAGAGAACTGCAAATCTGAAAGCTTCAGTTTCAGTCCACATATGGTTTCAGGAAGTGAGAATTGGATATATTTGCCTTAAGTATGAACTGAATCAAATTTCTCTCTATTTCACGCTGCTACAATTCTTAGTGACACATTTTCACTATCTTGTTTGTTGCGGTGTGGGCACAAATGTTAACATTTGTGAGTAATGCAAGCCTTAAGAATAATGGGTTTAGATATCACTTGAAGCATTCCTTCTGTTACAATCACTGCCCAGTTCAGATGTTTCCAGGTAGTCTCATGGAGCCACAAATTCTCCCACATGCCGGATAATTTCTGTTTGGCTCTAACCATAATTTGCTCCATTTGGACATCATTGGTTATGTAAGCTGTGGAAGGGGGAAGGGAAGGGAAGCAGGAGTGAATGGGGGAATATCTGATTTCTGCAGCATGTTCTTGAACATCCAAACCATGCTCTGGAGGATCAGGATCAAGATGACTGTATTGAGTCACTAAGCTCAATTACATAGCTGTTGTATTACAGAATTACTGGCACTGTCTTTGGGATTCCAGAAAGATGGCTAATAATAGCTGTCCGGTTTTAATACTTGAATGGCATGATATAATAATTATATAATATCACAAACAGATGTCATTGTGATAGGAGATCAAAAAAGTTAGGCTAATTTTAATTTCCCTATGGTTTGTGATAGTTTTTCACATTTGTGTGCACAGGAAACATCATCTTAAATGGGAAAGCTAAATGCTATTATTTTCTTTTCACTAGTGCAATAATAATCTTAGTAGTAACCTACTTCCATTAGAAACATTTGAAAACATTTTTTGTATGTTTACTCTATTTAAACTTTGTGAATTGCCCTGATAATTTTATATTGGAAGGCAGTATAAAAATCTGATAAATAAAACAAAACTAAAGCATTTTGTTTTCCAGTAAAATAGTCCCCACATCAGTTAAAATGCCATTATAATATTCCACTTTACTCAGCAGGGGCAAGCTCATATTGCGCATTATGTTGCTTGTAATGGTGCCCCAACATTTTTCTTAAAGTAAAATAACATTATGAGAAGAGGATTTACAGGAGAAATGTGGTAGAGGAGTCTGTCCAAACCCACTGTTTCTCTGCTTCAAGTGCCGCATGCAACAAGCATTTATTTACCCTTGCAGGATTCAGAATGAGTAGTAGTCAAACTTCTTCAGTATAAAAGTTTTGATTCCATTCAAGGAATAGACCTAAATCAGCAGTGAACAGATCTGAGGAAGCAGGAACAAAACAAGGAAGAGCTTGTGGGCCCGCAGCCATTTAAATGCGACTCAACCATGCCCCTCACCCAGCCGGATTGGCTGGCTGGGGGCATGATGGGGGCCCAGGACTCCAGTGACACAGGGGGCCTGGCCATGCCCCCCGTGAGCGTGGGAAGCATTTCCCGCTCACAATCCTTCCCCTCTGGGAAGAGGAGGAGCTCTGTAAACAGAAGCACTGCTGAATTAATAAGGAAGTTGTAACTCTTCCTTCCCACCCATTCCGTTTTGTGGAACACCTTGAAAACAACAGAAAATCACCAACTATTGAAAATTACCTTTGTTTTGGCACTGATGAAGTCAGTAAAATTAACAAAAGGAAACTACACTGTTTGGTTTCTGTACAACAGCCTCTTAAAATACACCATGCACATGCGGAGCAGCACACGTTTGTGGCTGTTCCAAATTGGTGCCATGACAAAGGAAATAGGTTGTTCCAAATTGTGCCATGGCCAAGGAAATAGGTGGTGGAGAAGAGACAACAGAAGTTAATAGAAAAAGCTAGTGGAAATAGTTTTTTGGGAAGGGAGACTTCAGTTCCTAAATTTGTTTTGTGAGTATGTTCAAACAGCGGCGTAGCGTGGGTTGTCAGCACCCGGGGCAAGGCAAGTAATTTGCGCCCCCTAACCCATGGATTTGCGCCCCCTAACCTGTGGATTTGCGCCCCCTAACCCATGGATTTGCCCTAACCCCAGATGTTGCGCCCAGTGCGGCCGGCCCCCCCTGCACCCCCACGCTACGCCACTGTGTTCAAAGACTTGAAGCAGGTAGAACACACCTTCATCTAGTTAGTTCTTTTTGAGTGACATATATTGACTGGCTGTGGGACCAGATCTTGAATTCTAGCCCTGGTGAGCCCTGGACTGATGTACTCTCTGCATCCTGTTAGGAGATGAACAAAATTCAGGATATAAGGATGAAGTTGCTGGAGGGTGGGGTGTTCAGCTTTCTGCATCCTAGAGCCCCATAGAAACAGAGACACTGTTGAAACAGATACACAATTATTATTAACATTAATTTTTGGTGAGGTAAGTTGTTGCAGCACCTTTCAGAAACACCCTATAAATCAGAGTTGACTAATCTCCAGTTTAGGGGCCATAACCGTAAGCCAATGCCAAGTGACCTTCAAAGAAAGGTTACCTTTTACCTTTACCTTTATATCACATCATTTATAAAATGGGGTCACAAAACAATTTAGCAAAGCAATTTTCAACTCTGCAGGAAGAGCCTGACTTTTACCATTACTTGTTTTTTTAGAGTGCGATTGCTGTTACCACACTGCTGTGCCTCATTATCTCTGACTGTTATATTGAGCAATTTTTAAATAATTGAAAAATGTTAAATCTGGGTCACAATTCTACCAGCTTCATCTGCACTGCTTTGGTTTAAAATTAGAAGCAATTATGCCGAGAGCATCTAGGTTGGAGTTATTATAGCAGGCAACAATGCTGAAACCAAAGTTCCGGTTAAATATACTAGCTTTCTGAAAATGCTATGACAATTTCTTGAAATGTCCAACTCTCATGATCTGAAACGTATGACCAATTTACTTCACTAAATACAACGGTAACACATGGTGATGTGTTCAGGGTAAAAAGAAAAGAAAAAACAACCATTGATGAACTAGATTTTTTAATGTAAAGATTGTAAGAAATAGTGAATTCCTCTGTTGATATATAGAGCAGCCTTTGCCAATCTGGCTGGTGTTCACCAGATGTTTTGGACTACA